ACCTGGTCAGAAGTGATATCTCACCAAATTGAACCATACAGCATTTTCACATTCAATGTTATCAACTTAATTTACTGAATATAGGTTCAGGTAAATAGTTTATATGTAAATAATTTCGGAGGCTTCCACGGTCGGAATCAATACATGATCGTTTTCCGGGTTGGAACCGTGTAAATTGAGTTTTTGGGTTAAACGTTTTGCAAACTTTCGTACGTGGCGTCTTCCGGAGCAGGGTTAAGAATAAGGCAAAAGAGCACGGTAACTCAGTATGTTAACCATACCAGAGGCGAAACTCTTTTTTTTTAACTATAGGTAAAACGAAATATCAAAAGTCGAATAACCGAAAAGTCTAATATCAAAAAATTGAAAAGTCGAAAAAGGGGAAAATTGACAAAAATTCAAACTCAGAATATCGACAATTCCAAATTTCGAAAATTGAAAACTTTAAACATCGAAAATTCGAAAAATCAAAAGTCGAATAGTCAAAAATTCAAAAAATCGAAAATTGCAACTCAAGCATGGAAAAGTTGAAAATTCGAAATATCGAAAAATAAAAAACTCAAGAATGGAAAAATTGAAAATTCGAGAAACCGAAAAGTCAAAAGTTTCAGACTAAAAACTGAAGAATGTAAAAATTGAAAAATCAAAAAGTAGAAACATTGAAAATTCAGGCAAAGAAAATCAAAAACATGAGAAATCAAAAACTCGAAAAACAAATTGAAAAATCGAAAAACTGAAAAATCGAAAAACTGAATATCGAAAAATCGAAAAGTGAAACAATTAAAAGTCAAAAACTGAAAATTTTGAAAAATGGAAAATTTGATAGTTCGAAGGAGTGAAACAAAGAAAAATCGAGGAATTGAAATGGAAACAAATTGAAAATTTGAATACTGAAAAGTCGGAAAGCCGAAATTGTGATTAAAGAAACTGAAAATTAGACTCGAAAAATCGAAAATTCCAAATTTAATTTCAAAAATTGAAAATTAGAAAAATCGAGAAATGAAAAGGCGCAAAGTAAAAAATTGAAAAATCGAAAAACTGCAGACTGGAAAAATTGAAAATTCGAGAAACTGAAAAGTAAAAAGTTTAGACTAAAAACTGAAAAAATTAAAAACTCGAAAAATTGAAAAGCAAAAAAATGAAAAATCCATAAATTGAAGAATGAAAAAATTGAAAATCGAAAAATTGGAAAACTGAAGGACAGAGAAATTGAAAATTGAAAAGTAAAAAAATTGAAAATTCGAGTATCGAAATATCTTAGTAAGTAATACAATTATACTTTTTAATTTAATTGAAATTAAAATGTAAATTAATTAAATTAAAAAGTCGGAAAGCTGAAGGATGAAAAAATTCAAAAATCGAAAAGTAAAAAATTCGAAAATCGAAAATTTAATAATTTGAAGAATTGAAGCAATGAAAAATCGAGAAATCGAAAAAGAAACAAATTGAAAATTACAATGTAGACACATCAAAAAGTCGAATAATGGAAAAATTGAAAAATCGTGAATCCGGATATAATAGAATTGAAAATTAGAATATCAAAAAATCGAAAATTCCAGATTTAATTTCGAAAATTAAAAATAGGGAAAATCCAAACTTCGAAATATCGAAAAACAAAAAATTGAAAAATCAAAAATTCAAGCATGGAAAAGTTGAAAAGTCGAAAAATCGAAAAGTAAAAACATTGATCATTTGAGCAACGAAAATGAAAAAACTGAATACTGGAAAAATTGAAAATCGAAAAGTGGCGAAAGGAAATAATTAAAAAATCTAGAAATTGTTATCGCAAAAATTGAAAATTTGAAAGATTGAAAATTCGAAATATCGAAAAATCAAAAGTCGAATAATGAAAAATATTCGAAAAATCGAAAATTGAAGAAACGAAAAATAAAAAACTCAAGAATGGAAAAATTGAAAATTCGAGAAACCGAAAAGTCAAAAGGTTAAGACTAAAATCTGAAGAATGTAAAAATTGAAAAATCGAAAAGTAGAAACAATGAAAATTTGAACATCGAAAAATCAAAAAGTGAAACAATTAAAATGTTTAAAAACTGAAGAATGAAAAAAATTGAAAAATCGAAAATTAAAAGTCAAAAACTGAAAATGTTGAAAAATGGAAAATTTGATAGTTCAAAGGAGTGAAACAAAGAAAAATCGAGGAACTGAAAAGGAAACAAATTGAAAATTCGAATAATGAAAACTCGAAAAACCGAAATTGTGATTGAAGACACTCAAAATTAGACAATCGAAAATTCGAAATATCGAAAAATCGAAAGTTGAAAAATCGAGAAATGAAAAGGCGAAAAGTAAAAAATTGAAAAATGGAAAAACTGCAGACTGGAAAAATTGAAAACTCGAAAATTCGAAAAATCGAAAAGTAGATAATTAAAAATACGAGTAACAAAATCAAAAACTCGAGAAATCAAAAAATCGAAAAGCAAAAAAAATGGAAAAATGGAAAAATTGAAGAACAGAGAAATTGAAAATTGAAAAGTAAAAAAAATTGAAAATTCGAGTATCGAAAAATCTTAGTAAATAAGCAATACAATACAAGTCTGAAAGCTGAAGAATGAAAAAAATCCAAAATTGAAAATTTGATTATTCGAAGAATTGAAACAATGAAAAATCGAGAAATCGAATCGAATTCCATCGAGAACGCGGAAATAAAAGAATTGAAAATTAGAATATCAAAAAATCGAAAATTCTAGATTTAATTTCGAAAATTAAAAATAGGAAAAATCCAAAATTCGAAATATCGAAAAATAGAGTCTAAAAATCAAAAATTTCATAAATCAAAAACACGAAAAATTGAAAATTGAAAAAACGAAAATTCGAAAAATCAAAAATCGAAAATTTGAAAAATCGAGGAATCGAAAAATTGAGAAACTGAAAAGGAAACTAACTGAACATTCGATTACTGAAAAAACCGAAAATTTGATAATCGGATTCCAAAAAATACAAGAATCGTAAAACAAAATATCGAAAATCGAAAAATCGATAATTAAAAATGCGAGCAACAAAATCGAAAACTCGAGAAATCAAAAAATTGAAAAACCGATAAACTGAAGAATGAAAAAATTGAAAATCGAAAAATGAAGAAATTGAAAAATGGAAAAACTCAAGAGAGAAATTGAATGAAAATTGAAAAGTAAAAAATTGTAAGTAATACAATTATAGACTTTTTAATTTAATTAAAATTAAAATTAATTAAAATAATAAGTCTGAAATGTGAAGAATGAAAAAATCCAAAAATCGAAAAGCAAAAAATTCGAAAATCGAAAATTTGACAATTCGAAGAACTGAAACAATGAAAAATCGAGAAATGGAAAAATTGAAAAATCGAGAACACGGAAATAAAAGAATTAAAAATTAGAATATCAAAAAATCGAAAATTCCAGATTTAATTCCCAAAAAAAAAATAGGGAAAATCCAAAATTCGAAATATCGAAAAACAGAGTCTAAAAATCAAAAATTTCATGAATCAAATACACGAAAAATCGAAAATTGAAAAAACGAAAATTCGAAAAATCAAAAATCGAAAATTTGAAAAATCGAGGAATCGGAAAATTGAGAAACTGAAAAGGAAACTAATTGAAAATTCAATTACTGAAAAAACCGAAAATTTGATAAAATCGGATTTCAAAAAATACAAGAATCGTAAAACAAAATATCGAAAATCGAAAAATCGATAATTAAAAATACGAGCAACAAAATCGAAAACTCGAGAAGTCAAAAAATCGAAAAGCAAAAAAAATTGAAAAATCTATAAACTGAAGAATGAAAAAATTGAAAAGTAAAAAAATTGAAAATTAGTGTGTCGAAAAATTGCAAGTAATACAATTATAGACTTTTTAATTTAATTCATATTAAAATCAATTAAAATAAAAAGTCTGAAAGGTGAAGAATGAAAAAATCCAAAAATCGAAAAGTAAAAAATTCGAAAATCGAAAATTTGATAATTCGAAGAATTGAAACAACGAAAAATCGAGAAATCGAAAAAGAAACAAATTGAAAATTCCAATATGGACAAACCAAAAAGTCGACAAATGGAAAAATTGAAAATACAGAAATAAAAGAATTGAAAATTAGAATATCAAAAAATCCAAAATTCGAAATATCGAAAAATAGAGTCTAAAAATCAAAAATTTCATGAATCAAATACACGAAAAATCGAAAATTGAAAAAACGAAAATTCGAAAAATCAAAAATCGAAAATTTGAAAAATCGAGGAATCGAAAAATTGAGAAACTGAAAAGGAAACTAACTGAACATTCGATTACTGAAAAAACCGAAAATTTGATAATCGGATTCCAAAAAATACAAGAATCGTGAAACAAAATATCGAAAATTGAAAAATCGATAATTAAAAACACGAGCAACAAAATCGAAAACTCGAGAAATCAAAAAATCGAAAAGCAAAAAAAAATTGAAAATTCGAGTATCGAAAAATTGTAAGTAATACAATTATAGACTTTTTAATTTAATTGAAATTAAAATTAATTAAAATAAAAAGTCTGAAAGGTGAAAAATGAAAATTTCCAAAAATCGAAAAGTAAAAAATTCGAAAATTTGATAATTCGAAGAACTGAAACAATGAAAAATCGAGAAATCGAAAAAGAAACAAATTGCAAATTCCAATATTGGCAAATCAAAAAGTCGAAAAATGGAAAAATTGAAAAATCGAGAATACGGAAATAAAAGAATTGAAAATTAGAATATCAAAAAAATCGAAAACTCTAGATTTAATTTCGAAAATTAAAAACAGGGAAAATCCAAAATTCGAAAAATAGAGTCTAAAAATCAAAAATTCCATAAATCAAATACACGAAAAATCGAAAATTGAAAAAACGAAAATTTGAAAAACCAAAAATCGAGGAATGAAAAATAGAAAAGTATTGCAACGAAATCGTTAAAATGATACCACCGACAACAAAACTCTCGTTGTTAATTACTTGGTTACTTCCGCTTGTTTGCCGGAATTCCAGTTAGAAACTAGACAGAAGTGGAACACATTTTATTAAGTACGTTACTCAAACATTGTTTTTTGCATCCACTGGCTTAAATTTTCACCAGTATCTAAAGTTCGAGCGAAGCTTAAAACATCCTTAACGCGATTTTCTGGCAGTTTGGCTGTCCGTAATAGAATAACAACAAAAACAGCCCAGTTTTCAGCCATATTGGGATAACAGTGTATCGCTTTCTGAGCCATTGAAAGTGCACTTTTTTTATCACCACCAACGAAAAACGATAGAGCGACCAAGCTCAAAACCTAGAATACAGAAATACGTTAAAATATGCATACACGAAAAAAAGTAATTAAGTACCTTTGTGACATTCATACTACTTTGTCCTAATTCCATCGCAATATGAGCACATTTGGCGGCAGCTTTAGAGAACCGTTTTTCCTTGTTTAAGCAAATCAACAAGGACGATAATGTTAGCCACGCTGACGCTTGATCTGGGTGGCGATGGATTATTTTGCTTAGTTCTCTAATAGCGGTTTTACTATTTTTCTGTGAACAAAAACGATTAGCAAGAGTTCAGACGCAACACGACGCAACAAACTTTCAGTAAATAGAAATAACTTTTCAAAACTGCAAAATGTTCTATGCACTCTTTTCTATCCTTTAAAACGTTCAGTTCGCTTAAAACTAGTTCGGATAGGTTGAAGTCGTCTTGGAGTAAACCTAGAGAGAGGGTGGCGTAGAAGCCCCAAGGCGACGGCTTTTCCAGTTGTATGCTGAAATTACGCATTATTTTTATGACTCGAAATTGTCACTATTACCTCTGAAACAATAAAGTTTTAGCGGCTTCTGGACCCTCAAACATGTACGCCATTGAGGCTAAGGCGGCTAATAAATCCGACTGATAATGGGGTTCGTCAGATAACCAATGTTACGTTCTAATTCTTTGTGTAAAAGAAATTGACAACGTGTTAACTTCATTCAAGTTTTCTCCCATTTTTTCCTTAAAGTCCGAAAAAACATCTTACTCTCAACAATTTTCCAAAATTTACACTGGGTAGTCAACAGATAGAAATGGCTTGGACTTCATCGTCTTTTTGGGTTTGAGGATATATGTATCAATAACAAACATTTTTAACAAGTACTGTTTCCAGTGTTGCCAGACGCAGCGGAATTTTTCTGAGATTTGAAAATTGGAAAATTCGAGTGATTTTTTTTTGCATTTTGGCACACTATTGTAGATATCAAAAATATTATCAACCTATCAACTATTCCCTATCAATCACCTGTTTTTTTCTTAATACATATACATACTTAGTATTCTTTGAACAATACGATACTTAAAAACATGTTTTTTATTTATTGTAGAGAAATACGAATTTTGCAGTTAAGCTCCGCCCCCTTGGCTCACAATGAATAAAAAAATCATCACAATTGAGATAGGGCGGGTGGGTGGGGCTTATATTTTGTCTTCTCCGTCTTTACACAGGCAATTTGAAAAATTCCCGCGAATAAACTAAAAATTCGTCAATTTTATTAATTATTGTCAATGTGGCGGCACAATAACACGTCGGTAAGCGGAGAAAGATAAGCTCCTCCGTAGTCTAGTGGTAAAAGCACCCGCCCGTCAAGCGGTAAACGTGTGGTTCGATTCCCACCGGAGAAGCAACATTTTTCTTCGCTTACCTACAGTTACATGTCCACAAAATTCCGCCAAATTTCTAGGTCATACAACCAATCTAGACAGAAACAAAATGAATTTTGACCAATAGCAAACGTTTTACACTGATTTAACACAACCTTACCTTTAATCAGTGATTAAGCAACACTGGTTTATTTAATCAGTGTCAAACTTGAATACCGTTCGAACTATTCATTTGATAGTTTAAATTTGCCAAGGTTATCCCGCAAACATGTTGCCTAGGAGCCTAGGAAAATATACTCCGCGTAAACACTGTTTTTTTTTTTTAAATTTTTATATAATAGGTGTCTAAATAAACCTGGTCAGAAGTGATGTCACCAAACTGAACCATACAGCATTTTCACATTCAATGTTATCAACTTAATTTACTGAATATAGATTCAGGTAAATAGTTTATATGTATGTAAATAATTTCGGAGGCTTTCACGGTCGGAATCAATACATGATCGTTTTCCGGGTTGGAACCGTGGAAATTGAGTTTTTGGGCTCAACGTTTCGCAAACTTTCGTAAGTGGCATCTTCAGGAGCAAGGTTAAGAATAAGGCAAAAGAGACATACTGAGGTAACTGGCGAAACTCTTTTTTTTGAACTATAGAAAAAACGAAATATCGAAAGTCGAATAACCGAAAAGTCTAATATTAAAAAATTGAAAAGTCGAAAAAGGGGAAAATTGAGAAATTGATATTACAAAAATTCAAACTTAGAATATCGAAAATTTCAAATTTCGAAAATTGAAAACTTGAAACATCGAAAATTCGAAAAATCGAAAAGCAAAAAATTGAAAAATCAAAAACTCAAGCATGGAAGAGTTGAAAATTAGAGAAATCAAAAAGTAAAAAGTGCAAAACTAAAAACTAAAGACTGTAAAAATTAAAAAGTCGATAATTCGTAAAATCGAAAAGGAAAAATACTGAACATTTAAGCAACGAAAATGGAAAACTGAATACTGGAAAAATTGAAAATCGAAAAGTGGAAAAAGCAAAAAATTAAAAAATCCAGAAATTGTTACTGCAAAAATTGAAAACTTGAAAGATCGAAAATTGAAAAAACGAAAAATAAAACACTCAAGAATGGAAAAATTGAAAATTCGAGAAACCGAAAAGTCAAAAGTTCAAGACTAAAAACTGAAGAATGTAGAAATTGAAAAATCGAAAAGTAGAAACATTGAAAATTCAGGCAAAGAAAATCGAAAACATGAGAAATCAAAAAGTCGAAAAACAAAAACATTGAAAAATGGAAAAATTGAAAATTTGAACATCGAAAAATAGAAAATTAAAAGCCAAAAATTGAAAATTTTGAAAAATGGAAAATTTGATAGTTCGAAGCAGTGAAACAATGAAAAATCGAGGAATTGAAACGGAAACAAATTGAAAATTCCAATACTGAAAACTCGAAAAGCCGAAATTCTGATTAAAGAAACTGAAAATTAGACTATCGAAAAATCGAAAATTCCAAATTTAATTTCGAAAATTGAAAATTAGAAAAATCGAAAGTTGAAAAATTGAAAAGTCGAAAATTCCAAAAATCAAAAAGCAGATAATTAAAACGAGCAACAAAATCGAAAATTCGAGAAATCAAAAAAAATTTGAAAATTGAAAAGTAAAAAAAATCTAAAATTCGAGTATCGAAAACTCTTAGTAAGTAATAGAATTATAGACTTTTTAATTTAATTAAAATTAAAATAGAAATTAAAAAGTCTGAAAGCTGAAGAATGAAAAAATCCAAAAATCGAAAATTAAAAAATTCGAAAATCGAAAATTTGATAATTCGAAGAATTGAAACAACGAAAAATCGAGAAATCGAAAAAGAAACAAATTGAAAATTCCAATATGGACAAATCAAAACGTCGCAAAATGGAAAAATTGAAAAATCGAGAATACGGAAATAAAAGACTTAAAAATTAGAATATCAAAAAATCGAAAAACAAAAAATTGAAAAAACGAAAAATAAAAAACTCAATGGAAAAATTGAAAATTCGAGAAACCGAAAAGTCAAAAGTTTAAGACTAAAAATTGAAGAATGTAAAAATTGAAAAATCGAAAAGTAGAAACATTGAAAATTTGAACAAATTGAAACAATTAAAATGTTTAAAAACTGATGAATGAAAAAAATTGAAAAATCGAAAATTAAAAGTCAAAAACTGAAAATGTTGAAAAATGAAAAATTTGATAGTTCAAAGGAGTGAAACAAAGCAAAATCGAGGAATTGAAAAGGAAATAAATTGAAAATTCGAATAATGAAAACTCGAAAAACCGAAATTGTGATTGAAGAAACTCAAAATTATACAATGGAAAAATCGAAAATTCCAAATTTAATTTCTAAAGTTGAAAATTTGAAAAATCGAAAATTCGAAGTATCGAAAAATCGAAAGTTAAAAAGTCGAGACATGAAAAGGCGAAAAGTAAAAAATTGAAAAATGGAAAAACTGCAGACTGGAAAAATTGAAAATTAGAGGAACTGAAAAGTAAAAAGTTTAACACTAAAAACTGAAAAAATTGAAAACTCGAAAATTCGCAAAATCGAAAAGTAGATAATTAAAAATACGAGCAACAAAATCGAAAACTCGAGAAATCAAAAAATCGAAAATAAAAAAAAATGGAAAAACTGAAGAACAGAGAAATTGAAAATTGAAAAGTAAAAAAAATTGAAAATTCGAGTATCGAAAAATCTTAGTAAGCAATACAATACAAGTCTGAAAGCTGAAGAATGACAAAAATCCAAAATCGAATCGAATTCCATCGAGAACACGGAAATAAAAGAATTGAAAATTAAAATATCAAAAAATCGAAAATTCCAGATTTAATTTCGAAAACTAAAAATTGGGAAAATCCAAAATTCGAAATATCGAAAAACAGAGAGTCTAAAAATCAAAAATTCCATGAATCAAAACACGAAAAATCGAAAATTGAAAAAACGAAAATTCGAAAATCCAAAAATCGAAAATATGAAAAATCGAGGAATCGATAAATTGAGAAACTGAAAAGGAAACTAACTGAAAAATCGATTACTGAAAAAACCGAAAATTTGATAATCGGATTGCAAAAAATACAAGAATCGTAAAACAAAACATCGAAAATCGAAAAATCGATAATTAAAAATACGAGCAACAAAATCGAAAACTCGAGAAATAAAAAAATCGAAAATCAAAAAAAATTGAAAAATCGATAAACTGAAGAACAGAGAAATTGAAAATCGGAAATAAAAGAATTGAAAATTAGAATATCAAAAAACCGAAAATTCTAGATTTAATTTCGAAAATTAAAAATAGGGAACATTCAAAATTCGAAATCTCGAAAAATAGAGTCTAAAAATCAAAAATTCCATGAATCAAATACACAAAAAATCGAAAATTTAAAAAACGAAAATTCGAATAATCAAAAATCGAAAATTTAAAAAATCGAGGAATTGAAAGAAAATTTGATTACTGAAAAAACCGAAAATTTGATAATCGGATTCCAAAAAATACAAGAATCGTAAAACAAAACATCGAAAATCTAAAAATGGAAAATTAAAAATACGAGCAACAAAATCGAAAACTCGAGAAATCAAAAAATCGAAAAGCAAAAAAATTGAAAAATCGATAAACTGAAGAATGTAAAAATAGAAAATCGAAAAATGAAGAAATTAAAAAATGGAAAAACTGAAGAACAGAGAAATTGAAAATTGAAAAGTAAAAAAATTGAAAATTCGAGTGTCGAAAAATTGTAAATAATACAATTATAGACTTTTTAATTTAATTGAAATTAAAATTAATTAAAATAAAAAATCTGAAAGGTGAAGAACGAAAAAATCCAAAAATCGAAAAGTAAAAAATTCGAAAATCGAAAATTTGATAATTCGAAGAACTGAAACAACGAAAAATCGAGAAATCGACAAAGAAACAAATTGAAAATTCCAATATGGACAAATCAAAAAGTCGAAAAATGGAAAAATTGAAAAATCGAGAACACGAAAAAAAAGAATTGAAAATTAGAAAAATCGAAAATTCGAAGTATCGAAAAATCGAAAGTTGAAAAATCCAGAAATAAAAAGGCGAAAAGTTAAAAATTGAAAAATGGAAAAACTCCAGACGGGAAAATTTGAAAATTCGAGAAACTGAAAAGTAAAAAGTTTAAGACTAAAAACTGAAAAAATTGAAAACTCAAAAATTCGCAAAATCGAAAAGTAGATAATTAAAAATACGAGCAACAAAATCGAAAACTCGAGAAATCAAAAAATCGAAAAGCAAAAAAAATTAAAAATCGATAAACTGAGGAATGAAAAAATTGAAAATCGAAAAATGAAGAAATTGAAAAATGGAAAAACTGAAGAACAGAGAAATTGAAAATTGAAAAGTAAAAAAAAATCGAGCATCGAAAAATCTTAGTAAGTATGTAATACAATTATAGACTTTTTAATTCAATTAAAATTAATTAAATGAAAAAGTCTGAAAGCTGAAGAATGAAAAATCCAAAAATCGAAAAGTAAAAAATTCGAAAATAGAAAATTTGATAATTCGGAGAATTGAAACAATGAAAAATCGAGAAATCGAAAAAGAAACAAATTGAAAAATCGAGAATACGGAAATAAAAGAATTGAAAATTAGAATATCAAAAAATCGAAAATTCCAGATTTAATTTCGAAAATTAGAAATAGGGAAAATCCAAAATTTGAAATATCGAAAAATTGAGTCTAAAAATCACAAATCGAAAATTTGAAAAATTGAGAAACTGAAAAGGAGACTAACTGAAAATTCGATTACTGAAAAAACCGAAAGTTTGAAAATCGGAGTCCAAAAAATCTAAGAATCGTAAAACAAAATATCGAAAATCGAAAATTTTAAACGCGAAAAATTGAGAAGCTGAAAAATAAAAAAAATGAAAAATCGAGATTTAAAAAATTGTGTATTCGTATATCTGAAAATGTTGAAAATCGAATGACCTAAAATTCGAAAAGTAGAAATGTCGAAAATCTTGTAACCTTCATGACTTCAGAGCACAAAGTTTTATGGTTTCTAAGTTACTTTTTGATTTTTCCCCAAAAATCTGGACATCAAGAGTTACAAACTCAACAAGGATTCATGGATCGCATATACACAAGTTTGCAATTCTGTAAAATTTAGAATTTAGGGAACGTTTATTCGGCAAAATGTAAAATGACGTAAATAAAAACTTAACACGGATTCATAAACCACAAGTGTAGGAGTATCTTATTTTATACAATTTAAATAACATTTACTAATGTTTCTAGTTACGTAAATAAGATTCAATTTTGAAATATCGAAAGTTTCGTTGAATTTTAAGCCAGAAAAAAAAATTGAAAAGTTTTGCAACGAAATCGTTAAAATGATACCACCGACAACAAAACTCTCGTTAATTACTTGGTTACAGCCGCTTGTTTAATGGATTTCCAGTTAGAAACTAGACAAAAGTGCAACACATTTTATTAAGTACATTATTTAAACATTGTTTTTTGCATCCACTGGCTTAAATTTTCACCAGTATCCAAAGTTCGAGCGAAGTTTAAAACATCCTTGACGCGATTTTCTGGCAGTTTGGCTGTCCGTAATAGAATAACAATAAAAACTGCCCAGTTTTCGGCCATATTGGGATAACAGTGTATCGCTTTCTGAGCCATTGAAAGTGCACTTTTTTTATCACCACCAACGAAAAACGATAGAGCGACCAAGCTCAAGACCTGGAACGCAGAAATACGTTAAAATATGCATACACAAAAAAACTAATTAAGTACCTTTGTGACATTCATACTACTTTGTCCTAATTCCATCGCAATATGAGCACATTTGGCGGCAGCTTTAGAGAAACGTTTTTCCTTGTTTAAGCGAATCAACAAGGACGACAATGTTAGCCACGCTGCCGCTTGATCTGGATGGCGATGGATTATTTTGCTTAGTTCTCTAATAGCGGTTTTACTATTTTTCTGTGAACAAAAATCATCAGCAAAAGTTCAGACGCAACAACGATGCAACAAACTTTCAGTAAATAGAAATAACTTTTCAAAATTGCAAAATGTTCTATGCACTCTTTTCTATCCTTTAAAACGTTAAGTTCGCTTAAAACTAGTTCGGATAGGTTGAAGTCGTCTTGGAGTAAACCTAGAGAGAGGGTGGCGTAGAAGCCCCAAGGCGACGGCTTTTCCAGTTGTATGCTGAAATTACGCATTATTTTAATGACTCGAAATTGTCACTATTACCTCTGAAACAGTAAAGTTTTAGCGGCTTCTGGACCCTCAAACATGTACGCCATTGAGGCTAAGGCGACTAATAAATCCGACTGATAATGGGGTTCGTCAGATAACCAATGTTACGTTCTAATTCTTTGTGTAAAAGAAATTGACAACGTGTTAACTTCATTCAAGTTTTCTCCCATTTTTTCCTTAAAGTCCGAAAAAACATCTTACTCTCAACAATTTTCCAAAATTTACACTGGGTGGTCAACAGATAGAAATGGCTTGGACTTCATCGTCTTTTTGGGTTTGAGGATATATGTATCAATAACAAACACTTTTAACAAGTACTGTTTCCAGTGTTGCCGGACGCAGCGGAATTTTTCTGAGATTTGAAAATTGGAAAATTCGAGTGATTTTTTTTTGCGTTTTGGCACACTATTGTAGATATCAAAAATATTATCAACCTATCAACTATTCCCTGATCAATCACCTGTTTTTTTCTTAATACATATACATAGTATTCTTTGAACAACACGATACTCAAAAACATGTTTTTTATTTCTTGTAGAGAAATACGAATTTTGCAGTTAAGCTCCGCCCCCTTGGCTCACAATGAATAAAAAAATCATCACAATTGAGATAGGCCGGGTGGGTGGGGCTTATATTTTGTCTTCTCCGTCTTTACACAGGCAATTTGAAAAATTCCCGCGAATAAACTAAAAATTTGTAAATTTTATTCATTATTGTCATTGTGGCGGCACAATAACACGTCGGTAAGCGGAGAAAGATAAGCTCCTCCGTAGTCTAGTGGTAAGGGCACCCGCCCGGCAAGCGGTAAACGTGTGGTTCGATTCCCACCGGAGGAGCAACATTTTTCTTCGCTTACCAACAGTTACATGTCCACAAAATTCCGCCAAATTTCTAGGTCATACAACCAATCTAGACAGAAACAAAATGAATTTTGACCAAAAACAAACGTTTTACACCGATTTAACACAAACCTTAGCTTTAATCAGTGATTAAGCAACACTGGTTTATTTAATCAGTGTCAAACTTGAATACCGTTCGAACTATTCATTTGATAGTTTAATAAATTTGCCAAGTTTATCCCGCAAACATGTTGCCTAGGAGCCTAGGAAAATATACTCCGCGTAAACACTATTTTTTTTTTTTAATTTTTATATAACAGGCGTCTAAATAAACCTGGTCAGTAGTGATATGTCACTATTTTGAACCATATAGCATTTTCACATTCAATGTTATCAACTTAATTTACTGAGTATAGGTTCAGGTAAATAGTTTATATGTAAATAATTTCGGAGGCTTCACGGTCGGAATCAATACATGATCGTTTTCCGGGTTGGAACCGTGTAAATTGAGTTTTTGGGCTCAACGTTTCGCAAACTTTCGTAAGTGGCATCTTCAGGAGCAGGGTTAAGAATAAGGCAAAAGAGCACGGTAACTCAGTATGTTAACCATACCTGAGGCGAAACTCTTTTTTTTTTAACTATAGATAAAACGAAATATCAAAAGTCGAATAATCTAATATCAAAAAATTGAAAAGTCGAAAAAGGGGAAAATTGAGAAATTGATATTACAAAAATTCAAACTTAGAATATCGAAAATTTCAAATTTCGAAAATTGAAACATCGAAAATTCGAAAAATCAAAAGTCGAATAGACAAAAATTCGATGAATCAAATATTCGAAAAATCGAAAATCAAAAAATTGAAAAATAAAAAACCCAAGCATGGAAAAATTCGTGAAACCGAAAAGTCAAAAGTTTAAGACTAAAATCTGAAGAACGTAAAAATTGAAAAATCGAAAAGTAGAAACATTGAAAATTCAGGCAAAGGAAATCAAAAAACTGAAAAATGGAAAAATCGAAAATTAAAAGTCAAAAACTGAAAATTTTGAAAAATGGAAAATTCGATAGTTCGAAGGAGTGAAACAATGAACAATCGAGGAATTGAAACGGAAACAAATTGAAAATTCGAATACTGAAAACTCGGAAACCCGAAATTGTGATTAAAGAAACTGAAAATTAGAGTATCGAAAAATCCAAAATTCCAAATTAAATTTCGAAAATTGAAAATTAGAAAAATCGAAAAGTAGATAATTAAAAATACGAGCAACAAAATCGAAAACTCGAGGAATCTAAAAATTGAAAATCAAAAAAAAATTGAAAAATCGATAAACTGAAGCATGAAAAAATTGAAAATCGAAAAATGAAGAAATGGAAAATCTGAAGAACAGAGAAATTGAAAATTAAAAAATTGAAAAATCGAGTACTCTTAGGACGTAATACACTCACCGGCAAAAAAATCGAATCATTAGTATTTTTGTAGAAATCTTCAATAAATTCTGGTGTGCGTCACATTTATAAGACAAATTAGGTTATCTAGGACAAAGGATATGAGAAGGTAACGGGACCTTCGCTGAAGTTGCAACAATTACGAGTTTATTAAAAAATACCAGAAAATCCATTACATTAAACCAACAAAAGACTACTTAACATATCATTAATAACGACTGTTGCCGCCTCTAGCTTGCATTACGGTTGCCATACGTCTTCCCATGCCTTCTATGAGGTGTCTAATCTCAGCCTGGGCTAATTGGTCAAATTCTTCAACTAGCGCATTTGCAAGATCTCTTATGTGTTGTATGGCCGGCACACGTGCTCTGATACGTCTACCTAACATGTCCCACACATGCTCAATTGGATTCAGGTCGGGACTGCGTGCTGGTCATTCCATACGTGAAATCCCGAATTCGTCGAGGTAGGTTTGTACAACTCTAGCGATATGTGGTCTAGCATTATCATGCATTAGAATAAAATTATCGCCAATAAAAGGAGCAAAAGGTACGACATGCTCTTGAAGAATATTTGCTACATATCGATCAGCATTCATTGTGCCTCTATCCACCACTACAAGTTCCGTGCGAGCCTCGGCAGAAATTCCTGCCCAGACTATCACTGAACCTCCATGAAAACTTAGTCTGGAAACAATATTGCACTGAGCCTACCTTTCGCCTCTTCTTCGCCATACTCTTTGACGGCCGTCAGGAGAACGTAGACAAAAACGCGACTCATCTGTAAAGAATACTTGGCCCCATTGGGCAAGATCCGAGTTAACGTGTTCTCGAGCAAATGCAAGTCGGGCTACTCTGTGTCGTGGGAGAAGTTCTGGGCCACTTGCAAGTCTACGGGCCCTCAATTCAGCTGCAGTTAACCTTTTTCTTACAGTTCTTTCACTTACACTAACTCCTCATGTTTCTTCAAGTTGATTTCTGGCCTCAACGGCGGTCGTATCCCTATTACGGAACACGGTCAGCGTTAAAAAACGGTCATCCCGAGCCGATGTTTTCTTTGGACGACCTGAATCAGGTCTTCGGCTGTATGATCCAGTCTCATTAAACCGTCGTACAGTTCTGTGAATGCTCACTTGTGATACCCCTAACGTATTGGCAACGTACCGTTAACTTCGACCATCCTGAATAAGAGCAATTGCTCGTGCTGCATTAATGGCCACAATACTCATGTTAATTGACAAAAACACAGTTTTCATCAAATCACAATGACAAACCGTCTGTTAATGCCCTCTAAACGTCACAACTGCAAATCTCATTGTTGGAAAAAAATTATCATCTTCAGATTTGAGGTTCATATCATGTACAAAAAAGAACCAAAAACCTAGTGTTAGTATATTTTGTGTGATTTTTTCAAAACTGATATTGACTGTAGCCAAACGTTTAAAAAAGGAACCATTTTCAATACAAACTTTGGGTGATTCGCTTTTTTTGCCGGTGAGTGTAGAATTATAGACTTTTTAATTTAATTAAAATTAAAATTAATTAAATTAAAAAGTCTGAAAGCTGAAGAATGAAAAAATCCAAAAATCAAAAAATAAAAAATTCGAAAATCGAAAATCTGATAATTTGAAGAATTGAAACAATGAAAAATCGAGAAATCGAAAAAGAAACAAATTGAAAATTAGAATATCAAAAAATCGAAAATTCCAGATTTAATTTCAAAAATTAAAAATAGGGAAAATCCAAAATTCGAAATATCGAAAAACAAAAAATTGAAAAATCAAAAACTCAAGGATGGAAAAGTTGAAAAGCCGAAAAATCGAAAAGTAAAAAGTTCAAAACTAAAAACTGAAGAATGTAAAATTAAAAAGTCGAAAATTCGTAAAATCGAAAAGTAAAAACATTGAACATTTGAGCAACGAAAATGGAAAAACTGAATACTGGAAAAATTGAAAATCGAAAAGTGGAAAAAGGAAAAAATTTAAAAATCCAGAAACTGTTACTGCAAAAATTGAAAACTTGAAAGATCGAAAATTCGAAATATCGAAAATTGAAAAAACGAAAAATAAAAAACTCAAGAATGGAAAAATTGAAAATTCAAGAAACCGAAAAGTCAAAAGTTTAAGACTAAAAACTTAAGAATGTAAAAATTGAAAAATCCAAAAGTAGAAACATTGAAAATTTGAACATCGAAAAATCAAAAAGTGAAACAATTAAAATGTTTAAAAACTGAAGAATGAAAAAAACTGAAAAATCGAAAATTAAAAGTCAAAAACTGAAAATGTTGAAAAATGAAAAATTTGATAGTTCAAAGGAGTGAAACAAAGAAAAATCGAGGACTTGAAAAGGAAATAAATTGAAAATTCGAATAATGAAAACTCGAAAAACCGAAATTGTGATTGAAGAAACTCAAAATTATACAATCGAAAAATCGAAAATTCCAAATTTAATTTCGAAAGTTGAAAATTAGAAAAATCGAAAATTCGAAATATCGAAAAATCGAAAGTTAAAAAGTCGAGACATGAAAAGGCGAAAAGTAAAAAATTGAAAAATCGAAAAGCTGCAGACTGGAAAAATTGAAAATTTGAGGAACTGAAAAGTAAAAAGTTTAACACTAAAAACTGAAAAAATTGAAAACTCGAAAATTCGAAAAGTAGATAATTAAAAATACGAGCAACAAAATCAAAAACTCGAGAAATCAAAAATCGAAAAGCAAAAATAAAATGGAAAAATGGAAAACTTGAAGTACAGCGAAATTTAAAATTGAAAAGTAAAAAAAATTGAAAATTCGAGTATCGAAAAATCTTAGTAACCAATACAAGTCTGAAAGCTGAAGAATGAAAAAAATCCAAAATTGAAAATTTGATTATTCGAAGAATTGAAACAATGAAAAATCGAGAAATCGAATCGAATTCCATCGAGAACACGGAAATAAAAGAATTGAAAATTAGAATATCAAAAAATCGAAAATTCTAGATTTAATTTCGAAAATTAAAAATAGGAAAAATCCAAAATTCGAAATATCGAAAAATAGAGTCTAAAAATCAAAAATTTCATAAATCAAAAATCGAAAATTTGAAAAATCGAGGAATCGAAAAATTGAGAAACTGAAAAGGAAACTAACTGAACATTCGATTACTGAAAAAACCGAAAATTTGATAATCGGATTCCAAAAAATACAAGAATCGTAAAACAAAATATCGAAAATCGAAAAATCGATAATTAAAAATACGAGCAACAAAATCGAAAACTCGAGAAATCAAAAAATCGAAAAGCAAAAAAAAATTGAAAATTCGAGTATCGAAAAATTGTAAGTAATACAATTATAGACTTTTTAATTTAATTAAAATTAAAATTAATTAAAATAAAAAGTCTGAAAGGTGAAGAATGAAAAAATCCAAAAATCGAAAAGTAAAAAATTGTAAAATCGAAAATTTGATAATTCGAAGAATTGAAACAACGAAAAATCGAGAAATCGAAAAAGAAACAAATTGCAAATTCCAATATGGACAAATTAAAAAGTCGAAAAATGGAAAAATTGAAAAGTCGATAATACGGAAATAAAAGAATTGAAAATTAGAATATCAAAAAATCGAAAATTCTAGATTTAATTTCGAAAATTAAAAATAGGGAAAATCCAAAATTTGAAATATCGAAAAACAAAAAATTGAAAAATCAAAAACTCAAGCATGGAAAAGTTGAAAAGTCGAAAAATCGAAAAGTAAAAAGTTCAAAACTAAAAACTGAAGAATGTAAAAATAAAAAAGTCGACAATTCGTCAAATCGAAAAGTAAACACATTGAACATTTGAACAACGAAAATGGAAAAACTGAATACTAGAAAAATTGAAAATCGAAAAGTGGAAAAAGGAAAAAATTAAAAAACTCAGAAATTGTTACCGCAAAAATTGAAAACTTGAAAGATCGAAATTTCGAAATATCGAAAAATCAGAAGTCGAATAATCAAAAATATTCGAAAAATCGAAAATTGGAAAAACGAAAAATAAAAAACTCAGGAATGGAAAAATTGAAAATTCGAGAAACCGAAAAGTCAAAAGTTTAAAACTAAAAACTGAAAAAATTGAAAAATCGAAAATTAAAAGTCAAAAACTGAAAATTTTGAAAAATGGAAAATTTGATAGTTCGAAGCAGCGAAACAATGAAAAATCGAGGAATTGAAAAGGAAACAAACTGAAAATTCGAATACTGAAAACTCGAAGAAACTGTGATTAAAGAAATTGAAAATTAGACTATGGAAAAATCGAAAATTCCAAATTTATTTTCGAAAATTGAAAATTAGAAAAATCGAAAATTCGAAGTATCGAAAAGTAGATATGTAATTAAAAATACGAGCAACAAAATCGAAAACTCGAGAAATCAAACAATCGAAAACCAAAAAAAAAAAATGGAAAAACTGAAGATCAGAGAAATTGACAATAGAAAAGTAAAAAAAATTTGAAAATTCGAGTATCGAAAAATCTTAGTAAGCAATACAATAGTCTAAAAGCTGAAGAATAAAAACATCCAAAAATTGAGAAGTAAAAAATTCGAAAATCGAAAATTTGATAATTCGAAGAATTGAAACAACGAAAAATCGAGAAATCGAAAGAGAAACAAATTGAAAATTCCAATGTGGACAAATCAAAAAGTCGAAAAATGGAAAAACTGAAAAATCGAGAACACGGAAATAAAAGAATTGAAAGTTAGAATATCAAAAAATCGAAATTCCAGATTTAATTTCGAAAATTGAAAATTAGAAAAATTGAAAATTCGAAGTATCGAAAAATCGAAAGTTTAAAAATCGAGAAATAAAAAGGCGAAAAGTTAAAAATTGAAAAATGGAAAAACTGCAGACGGGAAAATTTGAAAATTCGAGAAACTGAAAAGTAAAAAGTTTAAGACTAAAAACTGAAAAAATTGAAAACTCAAAAATTCGCAAAATCGAAAAGTAGATAATTAAAAATACGAGCAACAAAATCGAAAACTCGAGAAATCAAAAAGTCGAAAAGCAAAAAAAATTAAAAATCGATAAACTGAGGAATGAAATAATTGAAAATCGAAAAATGAAGAAATTGAAAAATGGAAAAACTGAAGAACAGAGAAATTGAAAATTGAAAAGTAAAAAAAAATCGAGTATCGAAAAATCTTAGTAAGTATGTAATACAATTATAGACTTTTTAATTCAATTAAAATTAATTAAAATAAAAAGTCTGAAAGGTGATCAATGAAAAAATCCAAAAATCGAAAAGTAAAAAATTCGAAAATCGAAAATTTGATAATTCGAAGAACTGAAACAACGAAAAATCGAGAAATCGAAAAAGAAACAAATTGAAAATTCCAATATGGACAAATCAAAAAGTCGAAAAATGGAAAAATTGAAAAATCGAGAATACGGAATTAAAAGAATTGAAAATTAAAATATCAAAAAATCGAAAATTCCAGATTTAATTTCGAAAATTAACAATAGGGAAAAATCCAAAATTCGAAATATCGAAAAATAGAGTATAAAAGTCAAAAATTCCATGAATCACAAATACGGGAAAAATCGAAAATTGAAAAAACGAAAATTCGGAAAATTAAAAATCGAAAAATTGTAAGTAATACAATTATAGACTTTTTAATTTAATCAAAATAAAAAGTCTGAAAGGTGAAGAATGAAAAAATCCAAAAATCGAAAAGTAAAAAATTCGAAAATTGAGAAGAATTGGAACAATGAAAAATCGAGAAATCGAAAAAGAAACAAATTCCAATATGAACAAATCAAAAAGTCGAAAAATGGAAAAACTGAAAAATCGAGAATACGGAAATAAAAGAATTGAAACTTAGAATATCAAAAAATCGAATATTCTAGATTTAATTTCAAAATTAAAAATAGGAAAAATCCATAACTCGAAATATAGAGAGTCTAAAAATAAAAAATTCTATGAATCAAATAAGTACACGAAAAATCGAAAATTGAAAAAATAAAAATTCGAAAAATCAAAAGATTTTTTTTCAATAAATCTGGATTTTCAAGGTAAAAACTTAACACGGATTCATAAACCATAAGGGTAGGAGTATCTTATTTTATACAATTTAAATAACATTTACTAATGTTTCTAGTTACGTAAATGTTTAATTTTGAAATATCGATAGTTTCGTTGAATTTTAAGCCAGAAAAAAAAATTTAAAAGTTTTGCAACGAAATCGTTAAAATGATACCACCGACAACAAAACTCTCGTTAATTACTTGGTTACAGCCGCTTGTTTAATGGATTTCCAGTTAGAAACTAGACAAAAGTGCAACACATTTTATTAAGTACGTTATTCAAACATTGTTTTTTGCATCCACTGGGTTAAATTTTCACCAGTATCTAAAGTTCGAGCGAAGTTTAAAACATCCTTGACGCGATTTTCTGGCAGTTTGGCTGTCCGTAATAGAATAACAATAAAAACTGCCCAGTTTTCGGCCATATTGGGATAACAGTGTATCGCTTTCTGAGCCATTGAAAGTGCACTTTTTTTATCGCCACCAACGAAAAATGATAGAGCGACCAAGCTCAAAACCTAGAATACAGAAATGCGTTAAAATATGCATACACAAAAAAAGTAATTAAGTACCTTTGTGACATTCATACTACTTTGTCCTAATTCCATGGCAATATGAGCACATTTGGCGGCAGCTTTAGAGAACCGTTTTTCCTTGTTTAACCGAATTAACAAGGACGATAATGTTAGCCACGCTGACGCTTGATCTGGATGGCGATGGATTATTTTGCTTAGTTCTCTAATAGCGGTTTTACTATTTTTCTGTGAACAAAAACGATCAGCAAAAGTTCAGACGCAACAACGACCAACAAACTTTCAGTAAATAGAAATAACTTTTCAAAATTGCAAAATGTTCTATGCACTCTTTTCTATCCTTTAAAACGTTCAGTTCGCTTAAAACAAGTTCGGATAGGTTGAAGTCGTCTTGGAGTAAACCTAGAGAGAGGGTGGCGTAGAAGCCCCAAGGCGAAGGCTTTTCCAGTTGTATGCTGAAATTACGCATTATTTTTATGACTCGAAATTGTCGCCATTACCTCTGAAACAATAAAGTTTTAGCGGCTTCTGGACCCTCAAACATGTACGCCATTGAGGCTAAGGCGACTAATAAATCCGACTGATAGTGGGGTTCGTCGGATAACCAATGTAGAGTCGACTCGTAAGTTTCGTAAGATTCTTTGTAACGTTTATCTGAAATAATCATTAAAGTAATTAAACTAAAGTGCCGACTTTTAAGAAATACCTTTAAAAAGAGCAAGAGCTAGTCCACTGCCGCTGTTAAATGTTGCCGCTTCTATTTTCGTGAATGTATCAATCGCTTGTGAATATTTACCCATTGTGGCAAGCAAACGACCATAGTTTACTTGAACCAAATCTCTACAACTTTGGTTGGATAAATTTAAGGAAGTTTTAAACGCTTCCAGGGCTCCTAATTTCAGTCCCATGCGTTCTTTGAGCATACCGAGCATGTTCCAGGCGGCAGCGTCCAAGGGATTATGTTCTATAATAACAAAGAAGTAAAAAAATGTTTAGTTTGAGAAAAGAGAAATTGACACTGACACATATTACCTAACTGGAACGCAAATATATATTTAACGTAGTAGCATACATTTAATTTGACGAAAACTAAAAGTGGATCAGTGTTAATGATTAAAATCAATATTCTTTTTAGCACATAAATAAGAAGCGAAAACAGGAGTTTTCTCACTGCGTTGGTGACACCTTAGGGTTTGGTTTAAAATGTGGAAAAGTGTTTTGATCGGTTTAACAGTTGTTGCGGTGTGTCACTGTCAGGGTGGAAATAATAGCGTGCACGTACATAAGAAGCCCCATTATCATGATCCATATTACCATCATTTATTATGTATGTATGAATAAAATAGTATTTATTAGTGTCCACTTATAGATATGTGTCTATGTTATAGATGGCGGCGGAATTTTGTACTATTTTACTTTTCTCCTGATAAAAATTAAAGTGGCAATTGTTCTTGGTACCATTCTTACAATATTCTTAGTTGCTGGAAAATTTTTCGCTCTGATTAAATATGCCGACTACATGAGTAAGTTAATAGCGTGTCAAATTCAAATATTGTAACCATATATTTTTTTTTTTTTGTAGATAAACCTCATCATGAACATACCGACAAAATTTATATGCCATCACCTAGTCATAGTCATTCCCATGATGTCTTAGATGCGCCAAGTTACTATTCTCCACCTTATGGTTCCGACACTAGACATACGATGACTGTCGATGAATTACCACCCAATGCGGTCATAGCGCCACAACATTACAGTCCTACGATGAACGGATATCGAAGAAGTTTTAGTGATAAATGGAATAACTACTACGATCTTTATATGGCAATGTTGCGCAAGTACAAAACTCCTTGATGTAAATATAACATACTCTCGGTGTTTCTTTTTCAGGGTGAATTTAACGGAAATAGTTTTTAAAAAAATGAATTTAAAGTCGATTGAATGCAAGAAAAAAATGGTTTGCAAGATAGAATACAACTTTAATCGATTTTCAGGACTTTCTACGTTTTCGTTTTTCATAAGGTATAGAGGAAACGCTTATTTAATAAAATAATCTCCTGCATAATATTTCAGAGATGATGATTATGATACATATCGACCGAATGCTACAATTAACAGTTCGACTGACTGCGATCGACTATATCGACAGTGTCGCAAAGTGACATAGCACTACAAAAGTTGTTAGATAAAAAAATAATGTTCCTATGTGTCACCAGTAACCTTATAACATATGTATTGTTAATTTATTTATTAATAAATAGATAAAGATTTTTCATCGTATCAAAATTTACTCCTTTATTCAATTTTACTTTATTTCAAGATATGAGACAAATTAAAATTCTTGTCGCTTCTTCAAACAACAAATTGAGTTCGACAAATGCAAGAGAAAGTTAGTGCTACTTTGTTTAGCATGAAACTCATAAACACTGACCTAACTTTACAGAACTTGTTTGCACCAAATTAGAAAACTGTTTGACTACATACAATTTTGAGATGACGTTATCATATTTTTTCTGGTGATGATTAGACAAAATTCGGCTGGTGTTGTATCATCTACATGATATTCATAATACACATATACATACAATTTGACAACAATCGGTTCGGTAGTTTCGGAGAATAGTGGCAATTCTGAATCAAACCTACTGATATTAAAGGTTGTTAAAAAAATTTACAGCCAATCAGATTTACGGATTTAACTCGTTACTATGAAAATTTGCAATTAGCACCCTATTAGGAGCAATTCTGTAAAAACTTGTTAAATTGAAAGGGTGTTAAATTGGAAATTTCCATAGCAACGAATTAAATTCGTAAATGTGATTGGCTGTTTATATTAAACAACCTTTAGATTTTAAATTTTAATAGGTTTGATTCAGAATTGTCCCTTTTATTTGTCTAACAAAAATTGACACAGACGGCGGATGGACGACAGACAGACGGAAACGGGAGACCCATTTTTTCGTACTGTACAAAAAACGGATGATGTCATCTCAAATTGTGCCGAATAAATCCTATCTAAAGCGTGCAAAATATGATGAGTCTATACTTGGGGTTTATCATTGTATTAATATGTTTTTCAGATCTGCTTAAACAGGGTGTCCCAAGAAAATTAATGAATGAGTCAATTTTATTGAATTTTATCTCACAATCTTCGCGAATTAATCCTCTCTAAATTATGAGAAATATTATCATTTTAATCAATTTAAATCAGTGCATTTGTAAAAATATTCTCAATTTTGGTGTTTAGAGTAGATTGTTAATTTATACATATTAGTGTTTTTTTTAAATGTACGTCATTCTTTTTATATATTTAATTTTTTAATTTATATAATTTAATTTAACTTATTGTAGTCAGAATATTTCTTGTAATGGAGTTTCCTGTTGGAAATAAACTTATTATTATTATTTGAAGGCATTAACCATTTTTTACACCATAAAATTACGTTTCTTGTTGTAGAAATAAGTCTACACATATTAAGAAAAAAAAAGGGGGGAAAATGGTGTGATTTTTTTTATTCGTCGTGAGCCAAAAAGGAGAAGCTTAACTGCAAAAATTTTTTTTTCCCTCAAAAAATTAAAACATGTTTTTGAGTATCGTGTTGTTCAAAGAATACTATATATATTAAGAAAAATGTTTCATTCGTAGTTAGATCGAGGGGCAGGGCTTAATTGCAAGATTCATATTTGTCTACAAGACTTTACCACTTTAAACATGTCGTAAGTTTGTTGTTCTGAAAAGATGACTATGTATATTAAGAAAAAAGACAAAATATACACCCCACCCACCCGCCTTATCTCAATTGTGATGATTTTTTTTTAATTGTCGAGAGCCAAAGGAACGGAATTTAATTGCAAAAACTTTATTATTTCTCTACAAGAAATTACCACGTAAGACATGTTTTTGAATATCGTGTTATTCAAAGAATCCTACATACGTATATTAAGAAAAAATTAAAGCCGAAGATTAAGCATCACCCATACCTGCCCTGATCTAAATAGTAATGAAGTTTTCATTCGTTGGCCTAATTGCAAAATCCAGTTTCTAGGAATTAAAAAAATCATCACAATTGAGATGGGGTGGGTGGGCGATTTTTGTATTTTGCCATGTTTTTTTAATATACAATCTTCTTTGAACAACACGATACTCAAAAACAGTTTTTAATTTCTTGTAAAGAAATAAGTATTTTGCAGTTAAGTTGGTTTACGGTGAATAAAAAAAATCCTTTTGTTTTAATATGTTCAGACTTATTTCGACAACATGAAACTTCAAATATGTTTAATTTGAAAATTTGTATAAGAAATATCCATTTTGCAATTAGGCTCCGACCCATAATTGCAAAATCCATATTTCCATGCAAAAATGTACCATTTTAACCATGTTCTAAGTTTCTTGTTGTGAAAAAATGGCTATGTATATTAAGAAAACAAAAAGTAAAAAATATAAGCCCCACCCACCCGCCCTATCTCAATTGTTATGATTTTCCTTACAAAAATGTACCATTTTTAACATGTGATAGGTTTCTAAGAATAAAAAAATCATCACAATTGAGATGGGGTGGGTGAGCGGGGTTTATATCTTGCTTTTTTTCTCTAAATATACATAGTATTCTTTGAACAACACAATACTCAAAAACAGTTTTTTATTTCTTGTAAAGAAATAAGTATTTTGCAGTTCAGCTCCGCCCTCTTGGTTTACGGCGAATAAAAAAAATCATCAGAATTGAGATAGGGTGGGTGGGCGGGCTTACATTTTGAATTTTTTGTTTTAATATGTGCAGACTTATTTCGACAACATGAAACTTAAAACATATTTAAAATGGAAAATTTGTATAAGGAAATATCGATTTTGCAATTAGGCTCCGTCCCACAACTGGAAAATCCACATTTCCTTGCAAAAATGTACCATTTTAACCATATTCCAAGTTTCTTGTTGTGAAAAAATGGTTATGTATATTAGGAAAAAAAAAGCAAAATACAAGCTCCACCCACCCGCCCTATCTCAATTATGATGATTTTTTTTATTCGTCGTGAGTCAAGGGGGCGGAGCTTAACTGCCAAATCCTTGTTTCTCTAGGAGAAAGTAAGAACACGTTTTTAAGTATCGTGTTGTTCAAAGAGCACTACGTATATTAAGAAAAAAAAATAAAGCCAAAGATTAGGCTCCACCCATACCCGCCTCAATCTCAATTCTAAATTGTGATCAATTTTTCATTCGTTGTCAGATCGAGGGGCGGGGCTTAATTGTAAGATCCATATTTGTCTACAGGAATTTACCATTTTTAACATGTTTTAAGTTTCTAAGAATAAAAAAATCATCACAATTGAGATAGGGTGGGTGGGCGGGCTTACATTTTGCCTTTTTATTTTAATACTAGCTGACCCCGTGAACTTCGTTTCACCTACAATTTAATTTTGAATCTGCAAAATCGAATGCTTTGAAATCTTGCAGATGTTTTAAACATATGATGAGCATAATAAATTTTTATTCAAAATATGTTTACTTATCCCCTCCAAAAAATTGATGATGTCAGCCCAAAATTTTGCCAAATGAATCCTATCTAAAATGTCCAAAATAGGATGAGAATATACTTGTGATTTATCATTCCATTCATATTTTTTAGTTTTCCTTATAGGGGGTGTCTCAAAAAATTCACTGAGTCAATTTATTTTATTGATTGAATCAAGAATTGCAAAATGAATTTTGAAATATTGCAGACGTTTTGAAGTTACTGTTTGACATGGTAGGTTTTCAATCAAAATATATCTGTTTATCAAGCCCAAAAACTTGAAGACGTCATCTCAAGATTTTTCCGAATAAATCCTATCTAAAATGTGGAAAACATCATCAGTATATTTTCGTAATTTATCATTGCATTCGTATTTTTAGATTTGCTTTTACAGTGACTCAAAAAAATATATGAATCAGTCAATTTATTTTAGTGAATAACTCAAGAGTTGCAAAAATGAATACTTTGAGATCTTGCAGACGTTTTAAAGTTATTGTAAGCATGGTAAATTGTTAAGAATATTTATTTATTCCCCCCAAAAAATTGATGGAATGGCTCACTCGATTTTCGCAGATAATTTTGGGAATACAATACAGTTATTTTTAGTATTACACTGCACCAATCCAAGGTGGTATACGTGTTGATAGTAAATAATGTTGATTAGGTCATCACAAAATTGTGTGAAGAACAGACTCAACTCGAAAATGCTGAATAGGTTTCATTATACTTTTGGTGCGAAGGAAGTTCTGTCGAAACAACTTTCAATTAATTTTTTGACAATGGTTGATATAAATAAAACTCAGTAGATGCTCATACTCGAATATCAAATCAAAATATTTCTAGTTTTTCTAGATGATACTAATACTTCCGTAAGTAACAGTTGATGCTCAAGTAGCATCTCGATACAACAAAAAAGGACAACAGTGACAGTGTTCAACCATCAAGGCAAAAATCGAGTCACCAAAATATAAGTTAGCATGGGGTAGACACCTTGAGATGGGAATTTCTATGGCCAGTGTTAGAAAAACGCACTGCACAATTTATGCATAAATAAAAGTTAATTACATGAAAAGTTTTCGATATTCCTGCTCCTAATGTGTTTTTCAAACTGAATGCACCTTTTGACGACGTTCCACGTTCATGAAAGTCACCATGTTTAGTTAAAATTCACTCTTACAACGATCCTACTGGTTTTCTAAGCTGCTTTACAGACAGCTGAGTTATTTGCCACGCCGATCTTCATTTTTAGATTAAATGCTCACAAAACGCGTAGATGTTCAATTTGTGTCCGGGGAGATACAATGTTTCCAAGTAGGTACTCAGTACATAGAGTAGATGCTCAGGTATATAAGATTATTACTCTTTCTAGGTACTTCGTACTTCGAATATGAGTATCTACTCACTTTTATTCATACCACCCAATGTCTCGCTTCAATGTTTGATTATGTTGATTATGAGCACAACGTTGATCAACTTCCGTATCCGAATTACCCATGAAATAAATCATTGCGGTTTGCACCTGAGGTAGTTCGTCGCACATTTGATTGACTTCGTGGACCTATGTCAGCTTGTCGTCTTCTCGGCATTGTAATGAACTTCATAAAACGACACAGAATTATTTTCACAGTCAAACAAATCTGTAAATTTTGTCTTGAGAATTTTAAAATATTGAAAACTTCAAATTAAATCCTCGAATAACGGTAAAGTTTGAGGTTTTTTCGAAACCAACAAAATGAATATAGGTAAAAAGAATGGCATATCAAAATGAATAAGAAACTTTCGCAATGTGTAATTAAATTCACTTTAACCAAGACTTTTTTTAAAATAAACGACGTTTTTTTTTACGAAAAAACAAAGAACGATTTGAAATGCAATATACTTTTCACAATCGCACGGAAGAATTGGTTTTGTATGACACGTCAGTTAGACGACAGGTCCGTCAGAAACGCCAACTATTGAAATTAATTCGAAGTGGCGATTCCCATACAAAATTTTTAGAATTTTTTTATTTTTTAACTGTTCTTTTAAGTTATCCTTATTTTTTTTATTTATAAACCATCCCCGTAATATAAAAAAATTTTCAAATCGGTCAAGCCGTTTTTGAGTCTTAGCGAACAGCAATTGATTTTTATTTTATAGACGATTAAAAAATGGGGGTTGGTGGTAGAAAGGTGAAAATTTAGGGTTATGTGTATTTTTTGATGCCAAATCTTAAAAAAATAAAAATAAAAAATTTTGTCCAAAAAATAGACAAACATTTTTTAGGGTGCGCCACCCTTATCACTTAGGGGTTTAAAAAATAGTTTACAATTTATTGTCAGACCTACCGAATATGCATAAAAAATTTCATACAAATCGGTCAACCCATTTCGGAGAAGTTCGGTTACAAACACTGTGACGCGAGAATTTTATACATAATGCATTATTATTTTAGAACAAATTTCATTACCATAAAAAAGGTTATACTGACTCGACCTTAAAATATAGACATATGCTGTCGCGGACTTTTCTTTAGATCTTTTAGAGGGGAACAATTTCGTCATACATGATTTTTACGTAACTTGAACCGTTTAAGCAGCGTAAGCAACGGAAGCTGTCAAAGGAGGAATAATTTTCCCGTTTTTCCGAATTTTTCATTGCTACTTCGCTCCTAATTATCGTAGCGTGATGTTATATAGCCTATATGTAGATATGATACATGGACTATCCAACACAAAAAGATTTTTTGAATTTGAACCAGTAGTTTCTGAGATATGCGTGTTCAAATAAACAAAAGCTTCAGCTTTATTATATAAGTATAGAAGTATAGATTATTGAAAATGTGTAAATTAAATGCTTCTAACAAAATTCTATTCATAAATGGGGCCCCAATGAAATAATAGCATCAGGCCCCCAACAGTCTAGATCCGCCTCTGTACATGTAATAATTGTACCTATAACATTGCCATTTATGTAACCAATACTAACTAACTTTCATTCTTTATCTTTGTGGCAATTTATAAAAACGAAAAACATTATTTACCTGTGTACCACGTGATGACGTCGCAAGCAACAGGCACGGCGTGCATATTATGTATAGAATAAATTACGGCATCCAGTGGTGACTCTTTCAACGTTTTACAAACCCAGTGTGCATAGCCTAAAGCACCCTGCATATGAAATCCCAGTTGGGTGCTATGTCTAAACAAATCCATAGAATCTTCGTGTAATAAATTTTCAGCAAGGAGAGCCTACATGTAACAAAAATTATTAGATAAAATTTTCTGAAGCACGTGGTAAATAATACTTGACCAATCCAACTGCTGACGTAATTTGGATCAGCCCTCTGAGCTTGTGAATATGCTTCATTGGCAAGTTTATAGTCCTCTAATAGGAAATACAAAGTACCTAGATTACACCACGCGACAGCGCTGTTATTATCGACGAGAACTGCTTTAATGAAGGAATGCTGAGCCAGGCTATAATTAGGTGGATCTAAAAGTACAAATGATGGAAATCATGTATTCAATTTTTGTTTGTTTGTAAGTACCCAGCGACATGGCAATATTTCCCAATAAATTCCAATGCTGCCAATTTGTAGGATTTTTGGATGTACAGTACTGGGTAATGATTTGCGACTTATTAATCAATTGTTCATAAACTGCCCGATCTTTGGTACTGGAAGAATGCGATAAATAACAGACGGCCAAGTCATGCCACAACAAACAATTATCTTCCAGAAATCCGAGGCTCTTACAATAGCAGGTCGCGGCTAAATTAAATAACTCATCCTTATTCAAAGTTGCGTTGGCTTCAACCACTTTGTCCCCTTCAATGTTAAAAGACGTCAGAAAGCAGTACTTTGGGGGTAATTTTGTTACTAAAAAACAACCGTCTCCTAATAACTTCCACAGACATCCTAAATCGTTACGTTGTTGAAAAGCACTACAAGTTATCATTTTATACGTGCCAAAGTAATAACAGAATTATATTTACACAACCAGGTGAGTTACTGTACACTGGACGTAATCTCTACACGACCCTAGACGCTGATTTTTGAAGAATTCCCTAGCTTTTAGTAAACAAGTTTCAACCATTCCTTTCAGTGCTGGAACGTAGAGAGGGTCAGTTTTTAAAATGTGTTCAAAATCGCACTTTGCTTCAGCAAATTCACCAAGAATCTGCATAAAAATAGTATCAACGACACATTAACAACAGCAATAGTAAGCACAACCTGCTTGATCGTTGCCATCTGTAAAAGTGAATATAAGGGATTTTCAGAAACTGACGATACTTTATCGTAACATTTTAAAGCTGAAGTGTAGGCACCTTTGGCCAAATATGCGTCAGCTAAGGACTCCCAACAATTCCTGAAACGTAGTAAAGTAGTAACGATAAAAATTTAATATGGGAAAAAAACATTACATATTGTTTTCTTCAATTCGAATTGTAATCCTCAAATTTGTAATTGCTTTATCATAGTCCTGTTGCTCTAAGTGATGTAGGCCTAACTGCATCCAAGCCCAGGAGTTTTTTTTATTTATAACTCCAGCAGTTAATGCTTCCAGAAGGGTCAGATTGGCGTCCTGAAAAGGTTCAAATAATAATTGTACATAATAGAAACATGAATTATGTTTGCTACAGTGTGATATTACAGTAACAAATGTTTACTTATAAACTACACTCCAACAAATCCAGCTTCGCAAAATTATAAAATTTGATTAAGATATTGCAAATTTTATTCTATGATAATCCCTATCATTTAAAAAATATACACAAAACCGACCACACTACACAACAAAAAAATTAATTGGACGCGATTCCACTAAGCCGTTACAACTCTCTGCTCGATTTGGATTTTCTGTTGGCAAATTTGGATGCCTAGTGGAAGAAATCCTAGTTTACTGCTATCTACTGTATTTGTTGTTTATTTACGTTACTGGGAAATTTCTTTGGAATCAAGAAATTCAATAAAAAGATAAATACTTCAAAAAAAAAGATGAGTACATGTGTACATTCTCAGCTCTAAAAATGAAAGTGTTGCACTCAAAGTTGCTCTAAACTCCAACCAAAGTACCCTCAGATAGAATTTTGAAAATTTGGTGGTGACAATTTTCCAATTTTTTTAATTTCTCAGTTTTTTGGATATTTCTTTCAGTTATGAGATTTTTCAATATTTCGATTTTTCTACTTTTCGATTTTTGGATTGCTGGATTTTCTTGATTTCTCGATTTTTTACTTTTTGGATTTTCAATTCATTGTTAAACTTTTTTTGATGTTTTAATATTTCAATTTTTAAAATTCTATGTTTTTCGATATCTCGAGTTTTCAGTTCTTCTTTACTTCAATTTTCGATTTTCCAGGTTTTCGTTTTTAAAATTTTTCGATTTTTCAATTTTTTGATTTCTCAATTTATCGAATTCAGATTGTTTCGTTGTTTTGATTGTCTAATTTCTCGATTTATCAATTTTTCGATCCTCTGATTTTTCGATTTCTCGATGTCTCAGTTTTTGAGCTTTTTAATTTCTCGATTTTCCAATTTTTCGATGTTTCGATCTTGTAGTTATCCGATTTTTCAATTTTTCGATTTTTTAAATTCTGGAGTTTCGAATTCTCGATTTGCAGATTTTTCAGTTTCACGATTTTTAAATTACACATTTTCGAATTTTTATTTTTTGCTTTTTTAATGTTTGGATTTCTAGATTCTTCAATTTTGCGATATTTTAATTGTTCAATGTTTTAAATTTTTCAATTTTTCAAATTTTGACGTTGCTAAATTTTCAGTTTTCCGATTTCTCAATTTTTTAATTCCTCAATTTTTGGAAATTTTTTTCAGTTTTGAGATTTCCAATTTTCGATTCTTCGACTTTTCGATTTTTCAACTTCGGGATTTTTCCACTTTTTATTTTTGGATTTTCAGTTTTTCGTTTTTTAAACTTTAAATTTCTAGATTTTTCGATTTCTCGAGTTTCCAATTCTATATTTTAATTTTTCAATTTTCCGAATTTTTAAATTTTCGATTTGTCAATTTTTTGAGATCTCGATTTATTGAGATTCGGATGTTTCGATGTTTTGATTGTTCAATTTCTCTATTTATCAACTTTTCCATTTTTAACTTTTCTCGATTTTTCGATTTTTCGACTTCTCTCGACTTTTCGACTCCTCGATTTTTCGATCTTTTGATTTTTTTATTTCTCGATGTCTCAATTTTTGAATTTTACCATGTATCGATTTTTCGATTTTTTACTTTTCGGTTTCTCGACCTTTCGATGTTTCGATTTTTGAATTATCCGATTTTACAATTTTCCAATTTTTTAAATTTTCGAGTTTCGATTTCTCGATTCGTTGATTTTTCAGTTTTTTGATTTTTCAATTTTTGATTTTCGAATTTTTATTTGGATATTTCGTTCATTTTGTGATTTTTTAGTTTTTCGATTCTTCAATTTTTCTTTTATTTTTCAATTTTTCGATTTCTCGACTTTTTACTTTTTGGATTTTCAATTTTCCGTTTTTTAAACTTTACCATTTTCAATTTTTTAACTGTTTCGATTTCGCAGTTTTTCAACTTTTCAATTTTAAAAATTTTTGTTTTATCGATTTCTCGAGTTTTCAGTTCTTCTATATTTCAATTTTTCAATTTGCGGAATATTCGATTTTCCAATTTTTTGATGTTTCGATTTTTCAATTAACCGATTGTTCAATTTTTCGATTTTTAAATTTTAGATTTTCCATTTTTTTTTTATTTTTTCATGTTTGGATTTCTCGATTTTACAATTGTCCTATATTTGAATTTTTCAATGTTTTAAATTTTAGATTTTTCAATTAATTAGTTATTCAATATTTTTTAATTTTTAAAATTTTGACATTTCTGAATTTTCAGTTTTTGGATTTCTCAATTAAGCATTTTTTTTTTTCCCGTTTCTCCACTTCCCAAAGTTTCCATCTTTCAGTTCTTCTATATTTCAATTCTTCAATTTTTCGAATTTTTAAATTTTCGATTTTCCAGTTTTTCTTTTTTAAAATTTTTCCATTTTTCAATTTTTTGATTTCTCGATTTATCGAATTCAGACGTTTCGTGTTTTGATTGTTCAATTTCCCGATTTATCAATTTTTCAATTTTTAATTTTTCGGCTTCCGACTCCTCGATTTTTCAATTCTCTGATTTTTCGATATCTCGATGTTTCAGTTTTTGAATTTTTCGATGTTTAGATTTTTGGATTTCTCGGTTTTTCGATTTTTTACTTTTGGGCTTTTCAATTTCTCGATTTTCCAATTTTTCGATGTTTCGATTTTTTAGTTATCCGATTTGTCAATTTTTCGATTTTTTAAATTCTGGAGTTTCGAATTCGCAATTTGTCGATTTTTCAGTTTTTCGATTTTTAAATTTTAAATTTTCGAATTTTTATTTTTGGTTTTCTAGATTCTTCGATTTTGCGATATTTTAATTGTTCACTGTTTTAAGTTTTTCAATTTTTCAAATTTTGACATTGCTAAATTTTCAGTTTTCCGATTTCTCAGTCTATTTTTGATTTTTCCACTTCTCAAAGTTTCGATTTTTCAGTTCTCCAGTTCTTCGATTTTTCGATTTCTGAATTTTCCAATTTTTTTATATCCTCAATTTTTGGATATTTCGTTTTTTAAACTTTCGGTGATTCAATTTTTCGATTGTTTTATATTTCAATTTCTCAAATTTTCAATTTTTAAAGTTCTAGATTTTTCGATTTCTCGAGTTTGCCCAGTTCTATTTTTCAATTTTCCGAATTTTTAAATTTTCGATTTTTCAATTTTTTGAGATCTCGATTTATCAATTTTTCGATTTTTCGAACTTCTCAAGTTTTCGACTCCTCGATTTTTCGATTTCTCGATGTCTCAGTTTTTTAATTTTACGATGTATCGGTTTTTCGATTTTTTACTTTTCGGTTTCTCAACTTTTCCATGTTTCGATTTTTTAATTATCCGATTTTTGAATTTTCCAATTTTTTAAATTTTCGAGTTTCGATTTCTCGATTCGTTGATTTTCAGTTTTTCGATTTTCGAATCTTAATTTTTTTGATTTTTTGATGTTAAGATTTCTCCACTTTTCAATTTTACGATATTTAAATTTTTCAATGTTTTAAATTTTAGATTTTGCAATTTTTCAGTTCTTCAATATTTTTTAATTTTTCAAATTTTGACATTTCTGAATTTTCAGTTTTCCGATTTCTCAATTAATCTATTTTTTTATTTTCCACTTCCCAAAGTTTCCATCTTTCAGTTCTTTGGTTCTTCAATTTTTCGATTTTTCAGGATTTTGATTTTTCAATTTTTCGATTTTTTAAGTTTGCGATTTTTCGACTTTGCTTTTTTGACTTTTCGGTTTCACAATTTTTTAATTTCCTAATTTTTGGATATTTCGTTCAATTCTGTGATTTTTCAGTTTTTCTATTCAATTTTTCAATGTTTCGGTATTTTGAGTTTTGGGATTTTTTAGTATTTCGACTTTTCGAGTTCTGGATTTTTAGATTTCTCAAGTTTTTACTTTTTGGATTTTCAATTTTCCGTTTTTTTTTTAATTTAGATTTTTAAAATTTTTAACTGATTTATGCTTCGATTTCGCAGTTTTTCAACTTATCGATATTTTAACTTTTCAATTTTTAAAATTTTAGTTTTTTCGATTTCTCGAGTTTTCAGTTCTTGTCTATTTCAATTTTTCAATTTGCGGAATATTTAAATTTTCGATTTTCCAATTTTTTTCTTAATTTTTCGATTTTCCAATTTTTTGATGTTTCGATTTTTCAATTAACCGATTGTCCAATTTCTCAATTTTCCAATTTTTATTTGATTTTTTGATGTTTGGATTTCTCGATTTTACAATTTTCCTATATTTGAATTTTTCAATGTTTTAAATTTTAGATTTTTCAATTTATCAGTTATTCAATAATTTTTAATTTTAAAAATTTTTACGTTTCTGAATTTTCAGTTTTCGGTTTTCTCAATTAATCATTTTTTTTATTTTCTCATTTCTCCACTTCTGAAAGTTTCCATCTTTCAGTTCTTCTATATTTCAATTCTTTGAAAGAGGATAAAAACTGAGAAATCGTATCATTGAAATATCGGAAAACTGAGAAATCGAAAAATAAAAAAATCGAATAATGGAAAATTTGAAGAATGGAAAAATTGAAGAAGCTCAAAATTGAAATATTGAAAAATTGAGGCATCTAAAGTTGAAAAATCGAGAAATCAAAAAATGGAAATATTGAAATGAAAAATCGTTAAATCGAAAAATCTGAAATTTAAAACAATGAAAAATTCAAATATAGAAAAATTGTAAAATCGAGGAATCCAAACATGAAAAAATCAAAAAAATTAAAATACGAAAATCGAGAGATTTAACAATCGGACAATTGAAAAATTGAAACATCGAAAAATTGGAAAATCTAAAAATGAAAAAAATGGAAAATCGAAAATTTAAAAACTCCAAAAATTGAAAATTTGAAATATAGAAGAACTGAAAACAGGGGAAATCGAAAAACCTGAAATTTTAAAAAATGAAAAGTTAAAATACCAATAAGTTGAAACATTGAGAAATAGACGTACCTATAAAAGA